AAAAAAGCTATTCCATTTTTAACTTGAACAGCATATCTTTTTCAGTAATACTTGCTTTGGAAGTAGTCAGACAACTCTGAAGTAGTTACAGTTAAACTTCTGATCAAAACAGAGTAACAATAATAGTAACCCAGAAAATATATTAGCAAGGAAAGATGCATTAGTGAACCCCTCAGTATTGCTTACCTGTCTTCTCTCTTCTACGCTTTTACAATATTTTCAGTAGCTTAAGTCATGAAGGTTACAAAGCAGTTGATATGTTTTTGGTTTTTAAAAAAAAACAACGTATTTGCAATACTATTTTTCAGTAAGTCTCAGACAATGAGATTATCTATTTTTTCTTCCTCTAAGATCTACAAATAGGATCCGTTTACAAATTCACACTCTTAAGGAGCACAAACAATAATGTGGTCAAGATAGAAGTCTTAAAACAAATGTGAAGCAGAAAAAGGTTTCTAAAAATCAATACCCAAAATTCTAAAAGGCTTTTTAATTACTTTTTAATAGATCTGTCGTATTCACTTGGAATAAACCTAGTACCCAAACACTAGTTATTAAGCTCAGGTTTTAAAACCTCTTGTGATCTTAAACGTTATACTTGCTGCCATAATATTAGAACAGACTTTCTTTTTAAAAAAAAAGAATGGTGAGAGGTCAATGCCTAGGATTCTGTCCTCATGGAGAGAAAACTCAAAGACTAAACTGACTGTTATGAAGCTTTCCAGTGGAAAAAGGAGTATTTTCCCAGTAAAACTTAATTTAAAACAGTAATGGGTAGACATATTTTTGGCCAGGCGCTAGCCCGAAAACAGAGAGTGAGGGTTGAACAAAATAAAACGTATTATATTAATTTAGTCTAGAGGGAAAGGAATGCTTCCCTGTTCAGCAATTTCTCAAGTCCCTTGCCAATCCTAACATCCCCTGATGTTTCCATATTGCTTATGGTGCTTTTCTTTTGCGTAACCCAAAATCATGCAAAAGGGTGAGTAGGTAAGCACCTGGAACTTGGTGGGATGCTGAAGAAGGTGGAAATAACAATGCAACAGCAAAGCTAGTAAAGTGCAAAAGGAACAACAAAAAAAAAGCAGGAATTAATCCATTCCCACTGGAACCATAACCAGTCTCTTCATCTGCTAGTCTCATAGACCTCATTAGACCACACACCCCTACCTGGTATCGGTCTTACAGCAATTCAGAAGCTTCTCGCTGCCAGAAATCATCCTTAGTCATTCTGAGATTCAAAGCCACCTTCCATGATCTTCCTTTTCAGTGAATTTCAGCAACACCATCAGGCCTCCCACTAGTCAAGGAGACCCCAAAAAAAGTCTCATAAGATGCTTCAATAGAAATCTTGAAACTTTTAAGAAACACGGGAAACATGAAGTTCGGTATAGAAAATCGTTTTAGAGGTGCATAGGGCCAGAGATACCTTCCAGTAAATCTCAGTCAGAGGAGGTGGAATAGAATCAAAATTTCCCTGATTTGGTTCTCCTCTTCCCACGTACAACCACCATTTTAAAAGCCAAAGATTAAAAACCAAAAAATACAGCAATTGTGAAAATGAGTTCGGTAATTTAGGAATAAATTCCTTGCAACATTTTAAAGCAAAACAAAAAACCTCATGCTATCCAGTAACATTTAATCAAATGAGACGTTTTTAATTTTTTTCAACTATTCACACCTATATTGAACTTTAAAATGCTTCGTAGCGGTGTGAAGAATATTAATATTTCAAAAGTGTTTTTGCCAATTATTACAAAATTAACCACAATTCTAATTTGTGAGCTGCAAACATCATCATTAAAGGGACTACAACACTAAAGGGAAAACAAAGCTCAGAAAACACGTTTACTTCCTTGTAACCTGAAGTCTGAAACACCATACCTATTCCTACCCACAAGAAACATTTCCCAGGTCCAGTCCTGAAAGTGCAATTTTAAATAGCTATGTTCACTAGAGCTTTCTCACATCTGTTCTTATGCTCTGTACAATGCACAAATGTTTTATCAGTGCAGCCGTAAAATCAGGAAAGAGTTTATGCCCCTCTTACCCCGCACTACCACTGTACAGTGTGGCATATTTTCCTGTATAACATGCTGTGATCATCACTGTTCAGTTGCACTGCAGTTCTGCTAGATCAGAATTGCATCTAGGACCTCATGTCCTTTCCCCAGTGTATAATGAAAGCTCCAAGGAAGGTGGTACGTAATATGGATGTGCAGAGTCCATCACAAAAAAACTCTTGCTTTGGTAACCTTTTCTCCCTCTAGTGGCTTCTGCACATTCCCACTTGTAGGATATATTACCCTTCAGTATTAATGTAAAAGACAAAAAACCCCCACCCTAATTAAAAAGCAATTTAAGGACTGCTCTGCCAAATGAAGCATTAGACTCAGCCACTAGGTTGTAAAAATATGAATGTAATCCCATGTGGCCACTTCATATACTTTATTCCATGACTGGAATAAGCATGCTGTGTAAAATCAGTCCTTACCACTTAAAAAGGTCACAGGAAGCTGAGGATGTAAGGTTTTCTAGAACACAGCATCTAACCCACCTGAATAATGTTTTGGAATAGACGGTCTTACCTCTTCTCTTCACACAAAGCAAAAAGAGAGTCTGAATTTCTCAATATCATTCTCTTACGAAAGTGAATTAATGCTCTAATATGCAAAAAACATACATTTTCCCTATCTCTGCAGTACCTAAAGAAGTACAGAGGTACGTTCATCAATAACAACATCCCCTGACTACTTTCATTAAAAATTTAAGATGAGAACATAGTACTACTTCATCTTTATGAATTACTCTGAGTAATGCTAAGTGCTTGCAACTCACGCTTGCAAATGATTTCAAGACTTTCATGAGCTTTTCTCATCAGTTTCAATAGCCTTCAATAATACTGACAAACAAAATTAAAATGCAAAAGAGGTTCTGTAGCCTTAATGAGACTAAATGCTAAAGCCATGTAGGAACATTTTAAATGTGTCTTGCAAACAAATTTGTTATTAATCAAAGAACAGAATGCCTATTTTATTAGTAACTAGACTTAAAAGGGAAGATTAATTGAGATATCTAGTGTTGGAATGTATATACTGGTATATGCTGATCTGAATGATACAGTAGGTGAAATATTATTACTGTTTACCCATATGTAGAATTCTGTGAGATTTTCATTAGTATATTCTTGACTTTTGTGAAATAAATGTTTCAAACATTTCATAAGTAATTTTTTTAGTTTTAAATCTCTGAAAAAAAATCTAAGCCATATTACTATCATGAACAACACTGCAGACACAAACTTGTTGCAGAGACCCTGAAGGAACTTCAACAGCATCCCATGCAGCTGGTCCTGTTCCCAAAGAGCACTTGGGACCAACATCCATAATGCATCTGCACTAGCTGCTGCATATAAAGAGGCCTCTTCCTTGCTCCATCAGCAAAGAGATCATAAAGCATGTAGTCTTCAGGGTAACAGACAGAATTGATTGTTAGGCGGGTTGGGTGAGCAATGTTTACAAATTAAGTGTTTCTGCTTGGATAATTTGTTTGGTATTTGAAAAGTGTGAATCACCTTGTATTTAAGATCACTTGAAATTTAATACATTATTGTGGGTCTGGAAAACATTGCTGCCTGTAGCAGTTACTTAAAAATACACTAGTGTATAACTATTACATATACTAGTTTATTTTTTTATTTTCAGCACAAAAAGCGTACAAAAGAACGTATGTGAAAGTTGTTGGCTTCACAGTGCAAGAAAAGCAATAAAAAATAATTTCTCTTCCCACGCCAAAACCAAAATGTTCTGAAGTTCTGCATTCTAATCCCGAAAAAGTCTATGCCTAAGTGTCACACCAATGCAAAGATTTTGTTTATAACAGTGTGAAAAAACTAATGAATCTCTACTGTCATCCACTTGAGCAGCAGTTGGATATTTTTAATCAGGTGAAAAAAAACATTTTTTCAAAAATAGATTTGGATAGCATGATGGACACTTGAATCAATCATATAGGCAATACTTCCTCATGGAAGGATAATGCTTCTTGAAATCTAATTTGGAGTATAAGGTTCTGTCTTTTCCTGAAGTCAGCAAATGTTTTAGATACAACTCTGCTACTAACTCTTTTAGTGTAAGACCAATGACCTCCACTTTACTAGAATCCCAGTTATCAACAACAGACTCCCATGAGATTAGTTCCCTCAACAGCAAAACCTGTATGTGACAAAGGGAACGGTATGTATTTATGTTGGATACCCCTCCCACACTTTTTTTTTTCATCTTCTCGCTTTGGTTTATAGAAGCCTAATAGTAGACAAAACAAGTAGATGAAGCAGTAATTTGGAATAAAATCTGAATTACAGCTTACTAGCAGAATGTTAGATTTGTGACCTAACAGTGCACACTATAATCAGCACTAATGACTATCCTTTGATGTAGGTTTAACACTACTTGTATTGAGAGGTTTGCTGGAGTGAATATTTATAATAAAATTGTTTTATTCAGTTAAAGTTAGAAGTGTGTAACAAAAGTTTTTGACTAATGATTAGACTACATCTCTATAAAAATCGCTGTCACTAAAATAATAACATTTGCAAGCCAGCCTCCTATAAAAAAGGAACCAGACTGAAGATCCAGACTGTTTCCATTCTTTTGCTGCTGGAGGTCAGAAGGAACTGAAGTTGCTAGAATGTCATGTCTTCTTTTATTGCAATGCCACTGCAACATTTGGAAACAATGAAGAGACCAGAAGAAATGTGAGAAAGCTCTAACAGACAACACTTCCAGCAAAAGTACAATTCCAGAGCTGCACTCAATTAAACAGGAATATGCAAAGCCTCTGCAAAGGAGAAAGAACCGTATTATTTTCTTCATCTGAAATTTTGTAAATGATATAATACGTGTTTAAACTTGAATATGCAAATATGGTGTAATAATACCATAAGCTGTTGGGTTTGGGGTTTGTTTTTTTTTTAGGAACCAGTATCAACATAATCTTACCTTTTTATCTTCTTTAGACTTCTTAATACTGTGCGGAGGGCCAAATTTGTTCTGCATGCAAAGCATCTTCTTAGACCATTCATTTTTATGAGATTTTAACTGCGGCTGACCAAAGCTGCCATCGACTCTGTATCTGTCTGCTGGAATCTTATTCATTGGTGGGGGAAGAGTTCCACAGTTAACACTTGACCAGCCGTCCGTAGAATCAGTGTACGATTCCTGGTCACTAGCATTTCCATGCTGCCATTCTTGCAAAACATGCACAGGCAACCATCTTTGATTGCCTATGCCTGCAGCGTTTTTCTTTGATGGGGGTACTGAATTTCGAGAGGAAACCAGTGGAACTTCAATACGAGCAGAAGGACTTAAGTGTTTGCTTACATTTTGGGACTTATCATTCTGCATTACTTCTAAAGGAATGTTTCCTTCCTGTTCATGGCAGAAGCCATTCCAATGGGAAGCAGGCTGATTTTGCCCCCTTCCTACTGGATTTTCCCATATGCTGTTAGGAATGTGTTTACTCGGATTGCTCCCTAAATCAACCACCAGAACTCTATTATTCTTTTCTTCTTGGTTAAAATTTCCAATTCCACTATCACTGTTACTGCTTGTACTATTATTCTGATGAGCATCTGCATCACCATCAAGAAAAGCCCTCGCACGCATTCCCTCAATCAATTCCCCCATATCCCTATACAGGACAGAAATAAACTGAAGAACAGGTAGAGATGATGTTGGAAACTCTAGACAGCCATTTGTATCCGGATCTGCTGTACATTCCAGTCCAAAACGTCTTGCTATGCCCTGGTGAATTTTATGATGAAATAATTCAGGATCCACCATAAAAACATGGCAAGATGTCCTCAGAACCCCTTCATCTTCCTGAGCCAAGCTTGCATCATCATTTGTCTGCATTGTAACTAGTCCAAAGAATCTTCTATCATCCGGGCAAACAGCACTGAATGCCAGTTTCTCTGCAGGATATTCTGCCACTACACCTGATTTGTCACTGCAGAGCTGAATACAGTCATGCATTATCTTCATCATCACTAGTGAATGGATTTTTTGTTCTGCCCGCAGACGTCTCATGCATCCACGAATAGCCTGCAAACTCTCATTTTCCAAATTTGAGGTTGTTGAAGGCAGTTCAATGGAGCCTAGGTAACCTACAATCATGGCAACATTTAAAATGCTTGCATCTAATGCAAAGTCTTCTGCACTCTCCAGTCCAATTCTAAAAACCGAATCATCATTCAGGACTTTGGATATTTCTTCCTTTGACAGTAGGTTTGGATTGCTTGCACTTTCATTTCCAGTTTCACATTTAATAGCAGCAGAATCCGAAAAAGATCTTTGTTTTGGTGTGGAATTATCTAAGCAACCAGCACAAAGAGTAGGATTCTCAAAGATCATGTTGAAAATGCCACCAGACTGCATTTCTTCAACAACTTTCTCTGCTCGGTTTATACCCAGAGCTTTAGAGTCAGGTTTGGGTTTCAGCCACCCCTTTCCATCATAAAAACCAACTTCTTCATCACTTGAACATGAATCTATATGACTAATCCCTTCAGCAATGACCATGTGCAGGACTCCAGAACATTTTCCTATAAGTTTCACTACATCTTCATGAGAGGCTTTTTTCACATTGATTTCATTAACTGCAAATATCTGATCTCCTGCTTTAAGTCCAACATAATCTGCAGGGCTTCCTTTCATAACACAACTAAGAACACAAGGAGCTTGTCCAGAAAGGGTAAACCCATAACCTGCTCTTCCCCTAGCAACCTCCACGCTTCTTATCCGAGGAGGAGCGTGCATGTTGAGTCGACGTTTGACTGTTTCCCCTGGTCTATACATTTTGAGGTTTTTTCCTAAAATAGGAAAAACTTTTAATTACTCCAGTTTTTTGTCATGTTTCACAGTATCGCTCCTTCATCTGATGAAGCTCTAAAGAAAGAAAGAAAAAAAAAAAAAAGACATTTTAATTCTCAATCATATTTCAGGATTTTAGTACCAGTATTCCCTTTACTGTTCAGAAATATTGCTAGTGAACTCTACCAAAAACTATTGATAGAGAACTAACACAACACTCAAAACAATTTGAAAAGAACAGGTACCAGTGTCTTAATTTTACTGATGAGAAACCAGTAGCCAATGCAAATAAAGTGGCTGTCCAAAATGGCAAAGTAACTGAACAGCAAAGCTAAGAACAGAATCTAAGTCTTCTGATGTACAGCCAGTGTTTTTATACTACAGCATGTTACATCTTCCCCAACTCCACCACATTACCTGCTACTCAGTTAACTTCTGGCTTACTGCACCATTGCAATACCACCACATTTTACAGCACAGTGAAAATCCTGGATGAAGCTCATCTATCCCTTCCCAGCAACAAAAAAATTAGAGCTCAAGTATACCTACTCAGCTATAGTGCACCCCCCTTTATACTCAATGTAGAGAAACAGGTACTAAATGTATCCGTGTAAAACAGGTTAGATAAATTACCCCTAGAGTTGCCTGTATCTCTCCACTGACTGACTGTAAAAGCAGCTTAAAATAAGTATCTCAAACTTCAATTTTCACACATACATTTCAGCTGCATATGCAACAACAAATGGACATTCAGTCATGTATTAGACCAAAAGGATCCAAAATCAGATTTACTCTGTTACACCAATCAATTAATCTACTCAAAAATAACTTTTCAGAAAGCAAACACTATAAAAAAAATACATTTCAGTCAGTCATTTCCAACATCCACGTGTTTTAGTTTAGATAAAAACTTCCAAAAAAAAGAAAAAAAAAGAAGGAACTCCACATGCTGCCAGTATTAATCTAGTCATGCCTTTAGAATTAAAATAGAGCAGCTTTGTATGAATAGCAAGAAATAGTATATTTCAGTACATTTTGGTGTTGACACTGAAGTCTGGATGTCTTGGTCTAATTATACTCAGGTAAATTCCATTGTTTTAGAAAGGTTTCCTCCACTAAGGAGGAAACGCAGAAAAATGTTTTAACACAAAGAATAGAAATGACAATTTGTTCAACTTTTGAAACTATCCCCTTGTTGCACAATATGAACTCTTACTTCCATATATCTAGAGGATGACTGACTGAAATAACTGGAGGACTACAGCTACGTAAAATTGCAATAAACTCAGTCTGAGCAAGTGAGAACTAATCTGACAATAATTACTTCTCTGAGCTGGACCACAGGCTTATTCAGAACTCAGTCACATCGTAACATACTTAAAGTGTATAAGGTACTTGAAAGCACATATCTTGTATATGTGGGCAATATGCAAACAACATTTTAGATAAATAGATACACATTAAAAAAATATACACACACACACACACATTTGTTTATCGTATCTGAAGTGTTAAATTAGTGGTCTCCAACCACTACTTGCATGGAAGAAAAATTACCAAGAAATCCTTCTGACATTGCTCTCAGCTACAGAAATAACAAAAAAACCCCACGCTCAAAATGTGATGCAATCCACAGCATACTACTTTCACAGAATTTCTGCCTGGGAAAGAAGAAACAGAAGGGCCATGACTTCAAAAGTTCCACCAAAAAAAACCCAAAACCCTAAAATACAATTTAGGATCAAAGTCTCAACTGCTTACCTACATATGAGCTGTCTGATTACCAAATTTAAAAAACCACTGTTGTTCTTGAATATTTTGCTAAATACTCAACTACAGGATGTAATTCCCTTAGGACCCTTCCAAATCCTAAATAGGACAGCCTTCAAGATACTACAGAAGACATTCACTCGGCTTTACTTTTGGGTTTTAGTTTGTATTTTTTTGAAAAAAGGGACATCAGGTTTTTATGTCTCCATGATGCAGCTGTGACTATTCAATGTAGTATGTTTTTTGCAAATTGTTTTAATACAGCAATTATCTAGCTTCAATAACAACAGTTCCCCTATAATTTAAGAAAATAACTTAGCTTTAAGAAGTAATGAAACTTCACACTTAACCTTTGAATGGAAATCATAACATAAGAAATGCTTTGCAAATATTTAACCAAACTCACACATTGCTGTAAAAGACCTCTGTCAACTTGCATCCAGTCTCATGCCTTAAACATAGATTGACCTCCTCCTGATGAGGCTAAACTTGTGAACCAAGAGATCACTGTGCATTCAGCTATCTCTAATTAGGTCTGGTACTTCCTGAGAATAATCATTAAACATTTCAAGATACAGTTCTTCAACCAAAAAAACGAACCAACAAATGCCCAACAGTAAATAAAAACCTGCTCTCTAAAAGCATGAACATATACATGTTTTAATTTGCCTTACAGTGAATATTTCTGTTCTCGATTGTCTGGAGAATAGCCTAATGTGTCCCCTGGGTACCCTCCAAAACTGTGCTGCTAACCTGGTCAACATAAAGCACTGTAGTACCTGGCACCTAAAAGAGTGGTACTAGCTTGCAAGAGGAAAGGAAACAATTAAGAGAGTATTAGATTATAAATAATCTGATGCAAAAAATACAATAAAAAGTGGTAGTTACAAAAAAAAAATTAAGATTCAATATTCTAATGTTGAAGTGGCTGATAAGAAAAAACATTTTTCCAACTACCTTTCTAATCTATTTAAAAAATACCCTAAATTCAACTATAAAAAACACACAATGAAAATATAGTTAAGCTGCTCTTGGGAAGAAGTAAACCCCAGCTCTGTCTTACCTCATGATTCCGCATTTGCTATGAGAGGATTGCTTTTAACTCTATTCACAAGTCAATTTATCTATTTGCCTTCCTAACCTATACCCCTTATACATCAAGCATTTATTCCAGATGACAACCACTGATAAAGGAATGTCATTCCAAAACCTGACTATTAGAAAAACAAAACATCAGGCTGCTAATACATTACTTTTCTCTAATGATGAAGTTCCAGGGATGTGAAGACTTCCAGCTATTAATTTATTTGTGTAATTTTGTGAGTGTAAAGTTAGGAAGTAATTCAACATTAAAGGGCTTTTTGCTATTAATGTGTATATACACTAAAAAAAAAAAAAAACCCCAAAGAAAAAACTGGGTTACATCACTGGAAAAGCTATCTCTTCCCTCCCTCAGTAGCTGAATATTATTGTGCATTTTTTGTGCCAATTACACAAATGATAAATAACAGCTCACTGAATCTATCTAGGAAACTTCAAGACAAAGGACAAATGTAGCTCTTTTGCAAAAGCCCTCAGCATTCAAATATGGTTTACTGCAACAATGGCATGACAGGCAAATGGAAAAATTATGAAAATAGCATTTCTCATAACCAGAGAGATTCCAACAGAGATTAGTTGAGTTATAAACTGTTAACAAACTAGATCAAAACTAAATTATCAAATTACCTAATTGCCTAAGTTTTCTTTTAATTTCTTTGCAGATTTGGAACCTGGAGCTATAGAGATATGGCACAAAAATGGCACAAACTTCCACAGTTTCAAAGTAATTGTATGTCTGAATATCCTTTTTCTGTAATACATTACAAAATGTGTAGTGTATCCAGTGAAACAAAGACATCATTTCAGTTGCAGTGATATAAAGCCTTGTAGGTGTCTGTACGTTTACTAAAACATGAAATTGTTAGCAAACTATATAACCTGTGATAATTGTCACAGGTAACCAAAGATAACAAGATCTAATCTGTTGATTTTCAGTACAAATTAAATACCGAATCTTACTGAGCCTACCAATAATATACTACTGTAATTACTTCTAATAATTATAGCACTGAATTTTATTAATTTGATAGCATAACGACATTCAGTCATATACAGTAGGGTCAGAAAAATGGTTACACCACAATACTACATATGGCCAAGCTAACTTTGACTTTCTGGTATCGCTAAGTATGATAAAGTAAGTCTTAAAGAAAAAGTCTGTACAATACCAAAACACATTAGTGAATATTAGTCTGGAGGATATGAGCAAACAGGCCTATAAAAGCAGAATAAGTTGTAATACATAGTAACTAAATCTTAAGCAAATAATATAGTTTTGTGAAATTCCAATATACTTATTAAAAACACTGAAAATATAGAATTTCTACTATCATTTGAAGAACACTGCAAATATAAAATCACTATTATAATTTCAGAAAGTTCATCAAAATTTGTACCAACACAGCTTAGTAATATGACACAAAACAAATACAGTTTAATAACTACAAAATGTTTCACAGGACATTTCAGACAGAAACACTAACATAGACAAATTAAGAGTTGTTCAATTATGTGAAATAACACAATTTGCCCATATACATCAGCTCTGTCACAGAACTGCAAAACAAAAAGAAACATTTGAGTTTTCTGCCAGCATACATTCTGGTCTACCATTTCAATCAATTACTTTTGGGGTATAACACACCAAAAATACCTGTTACGGTTGAATGGTACTTTATCCCACAAACACTGCATTTCTTTATGTAATGTTTTTACATATCTATGCTAGCTTTTCATGTCATTTTCAAACCCTCTACTACAGAGAAAATAATACTTATTTGCTTACTTTCAAGGGAGAGAGGTGGTTTGTTTCCTGCTTCTGCTCATTAACTCATAGCAACAAAAAGAGCAAACGGAAACAGGAGATATACCCCTGTTACAGTCTACATTAGACTATAATCTTAATAGTTACAGCGGGCAGTGAGGCAGGGAGCATGTGAAGTTTAAAACTACATTACTGACCACCAGTTCATTTTGAAAAGCTCAGCTCTACAGTATCCATGTTAATGAATTTTTTTTTGGAAAAGCAGAGAACTGGTTGGCTTCGTTTTGTTTTTCAATAGTGAGACTGTAAGAGGATAAAGCGTGCAAAGTGGAAGCACGCAGAAGAGAGA